GTTTGCAGAGAAGGTCTGCTGGGGTTTGTGCTGTCAATGGCTGGCAATATTCTATTTAGTGCCTCCAAAGAAAAGGCCATTTGCATTTAAAGTGTTAATGCATTTCTCTGATTTACACATGAGCAGTTTTGAGGGGTTTTTTTGTTTTCTTTTGGTGTAAAGCAAGAAAAATTCATCCTCCGGAATGGTTTGGCAGAAACACAATGGAAGAGCCTCCTACTCCCACCCCAGTGAGTTGAATTGCAGTCAGATTGTAGTGTCCCCACCACTCAGACAGCAAAGATGCCCAGTAAAACTTGGCAGCTTCATCATTCCTCTTCATGTCTTGGAGAGTTTAGGGAAACCCTCCAAAATCTGTGAATTTACGATTCCATTGGGAAGTGTTTGGTGCTGTTTGAAGTCTGGAAGGACACGAAGGAAAACTCAAAGAACACTTGGGAAGTGTTTGCTAAATTGTTAAAGTAAAAATAATCCCTGCAGGAAGAGTTGTCAGTGGGAGGATAAGGACTCAATATTTTATCTGGTAATCCGAGGCCGGTGCCTGGGATCTGCAGTAAAATTGGGCACATAGGAAAGAGGTCAGATAACTCTGTCCTGGAGAAATTAGGAATGCTCAAGCAAGACCCCAACCTGAAAAGCCCTTTCTGAGGCCTCAGAGCCCATCTCTGAGCATCAGCAGTAAGGTGTGCAGCTAATGCCACCATGTCTTCAAACCATTATGGAGCTGGTTTGCTCTCTAACATCAACCAAAATGAAGAAATATCTATTTTTCTAATGAGATATTGGTCCTGACATGATTCCCTTATGCTGTCTAAACCCAATGGATACTGTCTCCTGGCAAGATTGGAAGCTGGATAGTTCTGTCTTGTATTTTCTTAGTTTCAGCCCTGTGTCCAGGTGTTATGATGGATTGTTTTCTCTATGTATTAAACTGCTCTATAGTGATTATTCCAGATTTTGTTCTGCTTTGGGCTACATTCATCCTTAGATTTTGCTGATTTCTTTTCACTTCATAAAAAAGCAGCTTGGTTGAAGGGCAATACTGAAGTGTCAATGTACAATCCTCAGTGTTTTTACTGACCAAGTGCTGGGATTCCAGGTTGCACATCAGGTCCAGTGTCTTATATCACACTGGAGCTGCCATATCAGAACACGTTTTTTGCAGGCACAGAGAAGCTGACTTGTCCAGAGCAAAGAATTCCTCAGGAAGACAGACTGAGAAAAGTGAAAACACAACACCCAGTGATTCCAAGCCCTGCAAGTAAATTCCCTGAGCGGTTGTAATTGCTCTCCCGAGAGGTGTTGCTTACTGAAGGAGAGCTGACAAGGGTGTGGCTTCTTTTTAATTGCATGTTTGAACAAGGGATTAGAGAGTGGAGCAGCAGTGTCTTGTAAGGGATGAAAGGAAAGGGAGAGGGAAAGCACGACTGTTATGTAAACCATCCCTCCGTCAGTGTCAACATTTCCTGTCTGTATTCCAGCTGAAGTGAAAACAGTCGAGGCCAAGCCCAGTGAAGTGCAACCTGATTGCAGGTCCAGGCGTTAGAATGGGATTTCTGGCATTCCAGGCTTTTGGCATCCCCTCAGCAGTTGGAATGACTGAGTAACCAGTGGGATTTTGGGTGTATGTCGTTGTCATTCCCCTCCCCCCTTGACAGAAAAAACCCACCAAACCAAAACTAATATCAGCAGTGATGAGAGGATGAGTCCCAGGTTGTGATCCACACCTTCATCCTTCCAGGGACTGATCTGTTTTCCTCCAGGCAAAATTTAACCTGTGCTCCTTAGTCAGACCAACGGAGCAGGAGTGAAACTGTGGGTGTCATGCCTGTGGCATTCGGCTAAAGGTGAAACTAAATTGATCTGATTTGCTTTTCAGACCTAAGGATCTTGCTTTTCTTCCCTCAGAACCCAAAGAGAATTTCAGATTCTTGCAATAGGTTCGATCCCCATATGGGCCATTCACTTAAAAGTTGGACTTGATGATCCTTGTGGGTCCCTTCCAACTATTCTGAGTGATTCTGTGTGTGTGACTGTGCCATTCTTCCAATAAATCCGTTCCATAGCAGCCCCTCTAGCTGATCTTATTTTATATAAAGTAGCTTTCCTTTGTCTTAGCCACAATTGTTTTCAATCCTAGTGTTTATAAGGTAGATTTTAAGAAGAAATGAAGGCACTTTATCTTCAGGAAAGCAGTTGGTTGTCAAGCTCAAATATATAATTTAACTTGATAGACTTCTTAAACAGAAGGAAGAGAATTCAGCACAGAGTGAGTAGCTTTTGTTTCAAAAGCAGTGGAGGAGCTGTGGGTACCAGAGGTGCTCTTGGGAAATGAATGTGCTGCAAGGCAGCAGAACAAAAGTTGGTTTGTAGAGATCCTTCCTCACAGGTGTTTCAGTTATTGTCACCTTACACAAATAGCTGAGCAGGGTTCTCAAGTCTGTTCCACTGCAGAACTCTCCATACTGAACTACAGTCTTGAATCACCATATATATTATAATTTCAGTTATCACAAAGGAAAGTAACTTAGCCAAATATGGATGGTCCTGTCATTCCTTGGATACAGTGGAAACAAGGGCAGAATGAGCTGGTTTGGGTGCCTTTAGCAGCATTTTGGGAGTGTAAGTTGGGCTGTGATGTCACCTGTCTCTTCAGTCCCTCATCCCTTCTCTTGCAGTGTTGTGGGATAGGTTTGATCATGTGAGATCTTGTTCATAATCCAGGGAGTTCTTGCTGAGCAGCAATCCTGTAATTGTTTCCTTCTTTCCTTAAAATCTCATCAGCAGATTTCCCCCTTTGCTCTGCTGTGACCTCCTGGTGTGAATTGCTTTAGTTGCCATCAGTCTGTGGAAGGAATGTCAACTCCAAGACTGCTTTAAGAATCATGGAATCCCAGACTGGTTTGGGTTGGAAAAGACCTTAAAGATCATCTGGTTCCACCCCCTGCCATAGGCAGGGACACCTTCCACTAGCTCCAACCTGGCCTTGGACACTCCCAGGGATGGGGCAGCCACAGCTTCTCTGGGCAACCTGTGCCAGGGCCTCCCCACCCTCACAGCCAGGAATTCCTTCCCAAAATCCCATCTAACCCTGCCCTCTGGCAGTTTAAAGCCCTTCCTCCTTGTCCTATCATGACATGTCCTTGTCAAAAGTCCCTCTCCATCTTTCCTGAGGAAGAAAGTCACCAGTTTCGGGGCTTTTTGAAGAAAAGCCAAGTCTTACACATGTTTGGGGTTATTAAATGCATTCAGGAGACACTTTCAATTGCAGTCCCATTATGTCAGTGGTAAAACAACGTCAGTCTCTATAACCTGGCAGTCCTGAGGGAGCAGCAGCTCCATTTTTCTCTAGCCCCATTGTGTCAGGGACAGGAAAGAGCAGATCTAAAGCAGATTTGTTACTTTGCTCCGCTGCTTTAAGGCCATTGAAGAGCACAGGTGGGACTCTGCTCCAACTGCACGTTTTTCTTTGCTTCAGAACACCCTGTGTCCCTGATCTCCCTCCATCCCTCCTGTGGTGACAGGGAGGTGGGTGCCACTGCTCTTGTGTCCTGCTGCTGTGTCAGGGCATCTGTTTCCTATGGGATTGCTCTCCAAGTGCCCTCAGCCTGCCTTGCCTCCCCCTGCTCCAGAACAAGTTGTTATTTGGAGGATGCAGGACAGTCAGGAGCCTGCCTTCCCCTTGACCTTCCAAACTGACTGTTCCTGCAAATATTACAAATATGTTGTTCTGCAGGGAGCAAAACATTCTCACTGGGCTGTTGCTGCCCCACACCATAACCACCTGCTAGAGAGGGCTGAAAACTGATGGTCAGGAGTGGTCTCAGTGCCTTCCACGTCACACAGACTGGCATTTTCCCACCAGGAAGCACACCTTGCCTGGGGTGGGTTCACTCTGCTGGCACTATTTTGCCCCAGTGCATTTTCCTCTGGAGATCTGCTGCCCTTCTGTGCTGCTTACGTGGAGGAAGCAAATGTCAGCTCTGCTTTTGTCATTAGAGAGCAGTGCGTGGAGGGAAGGCAAGGGTGAAAGTGTGCCCTCTAGGATTTGGAAGAGACCAAGCCGAAAAGCCTTGACGGTGTTTGTTTTGAAACAGTGTCTGCCATGGAGAACAGCTGCCCTTCCAATGGAAACAAGAGAATCTGCAGCAGCTTTTTTTTCAGTGTGCAGTGACTGAAACGCCCATCACAGGCCTCGGGCTCCACCGAGGACTTTTGGAGATTGATGTTCCCCAACACACAGAAATGTTGAGCTTAGGGTTGTTCTGGGTCCTTGCTAAAACACAGCCTCAGTGGGGTTTTTTATTCTTATTTTTTTGACTTTCTTCTGTCGTGCATGAAAAGACTTGCTCCTATGTCAGGTCCCTGTTGCCAAAATACTGGCCTGAGAGAATTATCAAATTTTAATTTATGAGCCACGTGAACTTTTGAAATTTATCTAAGTGTATTGACATTTGTAATTCCATCACTCTAATACAGCTCAGAAGTAATGGGCTGTAAAATACCATTTTATCACAAAAATACACACTTCTAGATTCTATTCTTGTGCAGACAGATGTTCCACAATAATTCAAAATGGATTATTATTTTTGCAATGGAAATAGTTTGGCAGTTTTAAAATGTGCACTGAAGGTCTTACTTAGAAATTGATGTGGCAACAATGAAGAACTAGTGTTTCTACCAGGAGTTCACTAAGATGATTAATTATATATTATGAACAAATAGTAACACTGGAAGCAAGTTTTGAAAAGTTCTATTTCAGTTTCCTGGTATTTGAACAAAAGATTTCAATTCAAAACAAACCTACAGCAAACTGGCAGGCTTTGTGAGGAAAATTTTCTTGTGGAAGAGAGGAATACGTGTGAAAACTGTGTGAAAAATGTCTCTTTTTGTGGAAGGTTTGTTCAATGGCCCTGTGAGCACTTCAGAGCTGTAGGGATGAACGAGAACATATTTTCGAAGGGGCCCTGCCGGTAAATAAATTACAAAAACACAAAAGGTTTCCAAAAGAGTTTAATAAATAATGAGGTTCTTTCTGTACTGTATAAACTATAAATATACCATGCAGTCCTTTATAACTTAAAATAATTTACAGACTGAGGTAGGGGGGTAGGAGGGTGCTGGAGGGCGTCGCTCCCCGCTCAGGGTCTCCCTGATTTCCTGCTGAGCACACACACGCAGGCCGTGTCGATGCGGATGAACCTCCAGGCCGCCTGTTTGCCCTCCATGGTCAGGGCCTTGACGAAGGTGTGGGTGGTGGTGCAGTACGAGTTCCAGTGCTTGGCGTCGATCCCGCGGCACCCGCCCGACACCGGCTTGGGGTCCCTGCACTTGGTCTCGAAAAAGTACTGCTTAAAGACGTTGTTGTTGATGTTGACCTCCCCCAGCACCGTCACCTCTTTGCCTTTAATGTCAGTGGCCGTGGTTTTGTCCCCGACCCACATGCTGACGCTGTCGCACACCGAGAACTCCCCCCGGTGCAGCACGGGGTGCGTGGACCTCTTGGTCCTGGCAGTCCTGTTGAGGGAACCGGCGCCGCCGAGGAATCCCAGACTCTGTCCTTGCCCCGCCACGGGCGGGGGCTCCGTGCTGAACAGCACCCGGGGGGAGCGGAAACGCCTCTTCCGAAAGATTTTGGGGTCCACGGTGATGTTTATGGCTTCTCTCCTGCTCCAGGCGGCGTGGCCGTGGGGCGTCTGTGGGGCTGCCTCGGGAACGTGGTGCCTGTTGCTCCGGTGGGCATCGAGCAGGGAGTGTTCTGCTGGATACTCCAGGGGAGCATTGTCCTCTGACTTTGGAGCTGCCTGTGTGCCGATCAAAAAAGCTACAATCAGAGTGTAGTACAGCATGGACATTACGTTATGCACCTAGAACGAGAGAGAAAGGCACTGTTACTGGGGGCCATGTGGGCACAAAGCGCTGCCGTTGCTGGCCATAAATTTGTAAGATACCCAGGATCATACGGATTTCATCAGGTATTCATGTGGGTGCCAGATGTTGTTCTTCCGGAAGACCTCGTTCAGACAGCATAAATGTTCTTAATAAAGCGAGAACATTAGAAAATAATAGCTAGATTATTATTAATTCCTCTGGTATTTGTTATTAGAGCACTGTTTATGAAGCACTTGTTTGGTGTTATTAATGTGGAGACCATATGGCGACAGCATGTTCCCAGGAGTCAAACCTCCAGTGATTTTTGCAGCAACCTTTTTGGCCAGGGCCGATCTCTTGGCTGCAAACACCCTGCAGAGGAGTGAAACTAGAAGCTAAACCAGCCTAAACCAGCTGTCCATTCCCTAAACTTGTCTGCAGAGGTGTTTCACCATCCCTGGAGGTTTTTAAGATGAGACTGGATGTGGCATCAGTGCCGTGGTCTGGGAACCGCGGTGGTGTTGGATCAAGGGTTGGACTTGATGATCTCAGTCTTTTCCAACCTGTTTGATTCTATAATTCCCTGATTTTTGGGCGTGGGGGCCACCAAGCCAGTACCTGGTGCCATTTTCACACCCTCAGCAGCCACACTCACCTGCCATGTGGCCAGGCCCCACCACTGGCTGGCTCAGCAGCCTCCAGCAGCTTCCAGCTCTCCCATCTGCCCTTTCAGGACACACCACGTGGCTGATTCAGGGCAGATAAAGCCCGGGCTCCTTCCCCAAAATGCTCAGGTATCCATGCCACAAAGGCAGGTGGGATTTTTCCATATTTAAGGGCAAATATGGATATTACATAGAAGCACCGTGGGTGCCAGGCTACCTCTGCATTGGCATTTTAGGTACAGCATAGCTGAAGCCACTGTGGCCATACTACTGGGAATTCCAGAGGGAAATACCTGCCCTTTTTCAGAATACCAGAAGCAAGAACCTCCTCAAATGTCCCTGCAGAGCAGATGCAGTGCCAATGCTCATCCTCCTTCCATCCAGAGGATATGCACATCTGCTTGGGTGTGGAAAAGTGCAATCCAAATGTCTAAACCTTTGCTAAGACCCGTTTTATGCTGGAAGAGCAGCAGCAGAAATACCTCATTGGGCAACTACCATGTGCTGACTAATTCAGCCACATGTTGGGAACGAGAGACATTCAAAAACGCTCTGGAAATTGCAGTGAAGGGCAGACATTGTGTTTCCTCTGTGAAGACTTAATAAGCAGAGACGGGGTATAAACAGAAAAGCCCAAGCAAGGCTCCTCCCAGTCTCTTTGCCTTGTTTTCCTGACAAGTCTCAGCTGGCCCCGAGCTCTGCTGTGTCCAGCCAGCAGGCAGGAGGCCCCGTGTCCACTGGACAAACAGGGTTTTGTACAAGGGGAATCGGGCTCTGCAGTTCATGCCCTGATTTCCCAGCATGTCTTAATGTTTTTTCTGGGTGTTGGTCAATTATTGTAGCAATTCCCCCTCTCTGCTCAGCTTTCTCAGACTAGAATCCCAAGCAGCACTGAAGGACTCAACCAGGGTTTTAGCTCTGCCAGGGAACAATCCTGTAGAAAATGCAGGATAACCCTCAGATGTCCCATAGGATCTTGTGTGTCTTATCTCAGACAGGAGCTGAAGTGACATAAACAGCAGGGGTTGTGCAGGGCTGAGCAAACATTTAGGAAATCAGCAGGAGATGCCAAGTGAAGGTAGTGACTGAGGAGGGTGGAGGTGCAGGAGGAACAAAGAGAAAGGCCAAAAGCCACGTGAGCAATTTGTCTGAGCAACAGCTGGGCTGGAGGAACTGGGGGCAAAACGATGACGAGGAGAGTCAAATCTTTGTCACAGAGAAAATCCAAAGCTGCTTTAATTTGCTTAAAGCAGGGCTGAGGGTTGCTGCTTTCCCACGTGCTGCTCGAGCTGGAGCAGTCGGCATCATGGTCTGTATAAGGAAACAGAGCTGGGTGTAACTCACAGCTTGGCTGTGCACGAGCCAGAGAGTAACCCCTTGTTCTACAACCAAATTAAAATCAGATGGTTCATTACGTGTCTAAAGAGCTAGCTTTCCTGACAGAAATGGTAATGGAAAAGGTTTGCAGAACGAAATCCAGGCACAATTTAGCCATGCCAATAGCAGCCTCAACCTATTGTGTTTATACATAAACCCCTTTTTTATTGTTTCCTTCTATAGGAAAGAGGCGTTGCAATGTCAGCAAAGAGCTGGTTCTGGTTTTGTGCTGTACAAGATTTGCTGCTCTAAAATTCAGCTGCATTTATGTCCCTTCTCCAGGTTTCTTGTGTTGCATGTGTTGACATTTTTGCTTTAAGGCCATTAACACAAAAGCAGAAAAATCTCTCCTGCTTGCCTTTTCCTCTTTTTAATTGCCTTGCATTTCCTCTCCTTGTAGTAGAACATTCTGTGGAGTGTGGACCAAACACAGACAGAATGCATTTAGGATATGGGGTGGTTTTCCTGAAGATTCAAAGCTGAATCTTTTTATCAGTTATTTAGTTAGTGGAGAACAGAAAGTGACACAAAACCAAAAAGTGGACAAGACCTGATGACAACACAAGCAAGATAAGATTTAAAGAATTAGGTGTGCCTTAGTCTGTGAGGGTTGTGGACTTTTTTGCTGGCACATACAGGTATTTTACAGGCTCTTTTGGGATGCTGAAAGGGGCTCTGAGCAATGTGGTCTAGTGGAAGGTGTCCCTGCCCCATGGCAGGGGGTGGAACAAGATGAGTTTTTTCTAAACTCCAAACTGAATTTTTCTAAATTCCATGATTCTGCATCTAAACTTTGTCACATACTTAGTTACTAGACCCTTTCATGGTGCTTTCTAGAGATGCCCACAGTGGATGCCAAGTGCAGCCACCTGAACTTGCAGGGAGAGGAGCAGCTGCCAGCTCTGGTGCTGGTGGTACTCGGATATCTGTGGGTAGCATTGGCCACAGAGGCATTTTGACGCCAAAATTACAAACCCTCTGCACTAAACCCCACTTTTATGGTGGTCAAGAGTCATTTAAACACTTCCTGTGGTTGCAGCTGCTGTGTGAGGTTGGCCATGGGTGGTCTGAGCCTGCTGGGAGCAGGGTGAGTGCTGTGCTTACCTCGGACTGTACTGCACAAAGAACTGCTCCCCCAGCAAGGTCCTTATTTCATCCAGAGCTGAGCCGGGCTGGGCTGCAGCATGCCATCGGGCCCTGGGCTGCAGAGCTGAGCCTGGCAGTTCCTTATGCTGTCTTTCACTAGAAGTAGAAGTATTTGTTTCAGTAATCAGCCAGCAAATCAGTGTTTTCAGCACCATTCCCCACTCGACAGCAGGAGGACAGGCACAAACCCACTTGCTTGGCTCTCTGAGCTGGGCCTTTTCCCTGCAGTAAAGAGCTTGTCTAAAGTAGTTCCAGACTTTGCAGAGAACTGCCTTTATTCAGCACCTTTGCCAGACCCAACAGTCCACTGCTTCCCACCCCTCTCAGACACCTTCCAGGCTCACCAAACCTGAGTGTGGTGCAGCAATACCTGCTGGTGGCACTGCCCAAGCTTTGTCTGCACAGATGGGCACACGAGGGCTCACACCCCCAGCATCTGTGTCTGGGAGGCAAATCTGGTTACAATCAGACTCAGGGGGAGAATCACAGATTGCCAGTTATTGGCAGAGAATTGCCTGATTGTGGCTGATATTTGAGCAGAATTGAAGATGCAGAACTTGCAGACACGTGAAGGCATTTATATAAATGTTTGTCATCTTGCTACTGTAAGGGCAGAAATAACTCCAGTCTTAATGACTGCACTGTGAGTGGTCATATAGACCCCAGTTAAAAGGAAACCAGTATTTTCTTCACCAATTAAATCCAGCACACTGACACTTTCTCAGCAAAGTACATTTCAGACTGTAAATTCTCGAGTGCCACTGAAAGGGATAGAAATAGTATTTTATTAATCTTACGTGTTAAATAGCCCATCTGTTCCATTTAATAAGGTAAATAGGGGTTGTATAAGGTACTCCTGTACTGCAGAAATCCTGCTGGATTCAGGGTGGGGATTGAGGTGCATTTGCTGAGGAGAACAGGCTGCTAATGCCAAAGCATGAACTGGATTCGTTTTACACCTGCACCGTGTCTGTCCTCGGGAGAGGGGGCTGCCAGCAAAGGCAGCCACTGGGTTTGGCTCTTACCAACACCCAAGGACGAGCTACTTGATGCTTAAAACCCCAGCTGAAATCTCCCCAGCCTGTTTTCATCAGTGCAGGGCAGAGGAGTCTCTCTGTGAGCGCTCACTGTGTGGTTGTGCAACTCTTTGTGCAGCAATTCAGCCACCCTGGGTTTGCTGCTGCCTGTGGGTCGTGCTCAGGTTTTGCCCTACCTGTGTGTCTCTGTACTCAGGAGCTGAGATATCAGTGATATCAACGTGGCAGGAAGGTCAATCAGAGCTCCAAAATCCAAAGCTTTGTGCTGCAGATGGAGTGTGCTGGATTTTAGCAGGAATACCCCAGTGAAGCACTAACCCTTTCAGTGAACTCTGGGCAGTTTGGTAATGATAGAGCTATAATGTGCTGGCCACTGCCAAAAATAATCCAACAACTTTTCCGACTGTTCTGCCACCCTAAGAAAACACTCTTTCAGTTCCAACTGGCCGGTTTTTAACCACAAAAGAGTTTATTTTCAGCAGGAATTCTTTTTTTTAAAGCTCATTTACCGCCTTTTTCCCGGATTCCTGGTTGTGGCAGAATCCAGTAAATGATGCCGTGTTATTCAGCATCTATATACTATTCCTTTGTACCTCCCAGACATTCATAAAATATCCTAGTGAAGTAACTGTTTATTCAGAATTTACGTGCATTCCAGATGACAGACTTGGTGGGTAGAAAAAAATCGCACTTCAATTTTAGTCTCAGCACATATAGAATAGAATCCCAGAATCCCAGAATGGTTTGGGTTGGAAAAGACCTTAAAGCTCATCCAGTTCCACCCCCTGCCATGGGCAGGGACACCTTCCACTAGCCCAGGTTGCTCCAAGCCCCGTCCAACCTGGCCTTGGACACTTCCAGGGATGGAGCAGCCACAGCTTCTCTGGGCAACCTGTGCCAGGGCCTCGTCTGTATTTCAATTATTACCTTTTTCAGACAGATCCACTGGTAAATAATGAATTTGTTTTTTACTGTCAACCCCTATGGGGCATTCCTGTGCAAATAACACTTTATATCTTTATAACATGCCACTACTCCTACTGGATTTGGTTGCCCAGAGAAGCTGTGGCTGCCCCATCCCTGTCCAAGGCCAGGTTGGGCAGGGCTTGGAGCAACCTGGGCTAGTGGAAGGTGTCCCTGCCCATGGCAGGGGGTGGAATGGGATGATCTTGAAGGTCCCTTCCAACCCAAACCGTTCTGGGATTCTGGAGAGTGAAGAAATGGATCACATCAGAAAGCAACTGGTTCTGTGTCTTGAAAAACACTTTGCTTGCAGGACCTGTAAGTGCAGCAAGTGCCAAACAAAACAAGTGCAGGGAATTCCTTTTTAATTGAAGTTACCCACAGAATCTGAGGGAAAACGGACAAAAAGGCTGTGTTGCCTGGAAACTTATTAGGAATGAAAATTTAATAAATTTACTAAATTAATTGCTTCCAGTAAGAATAGCAGTCAGTGCAGCCTCCTAATTGCACATTGACCAGATGCCATCAAGTGGCTCCTACACTAGTGAGAGAAAAGATAAATTAGTGCTCAGTTTGGCTCAATCAAACGCAGCAAGTACATTATTTTCTAAATAAAAATAAACACTGGCAACAAACATAAACATCGAATGTTGTAATCTAAAGCCTGATACAATTTGGAATGTTGTTTTCTGTCATTCTTGAAGTTGCTGGCGTGTTTTAGGGATGTGCAAAAAATAAACAGAGCTGCTTGGCTGTCAGTGCAGCAAAAGGGATCGTGGAGGTCACCAAAACAAGCAACAAGTAGTGCTTTAGCTTCCTCTCACTGCTTCTGGAAGTAAGAGAGAAATGAGGGAGGCCCTTGGTGCTGAAGTCACTGGTAAAGAGAAGGTGTCTCTGGCACATCTTCCTCACGGAATCATTTGAGGAGGTTATGAATTGAATATGAATTATATGAATTAAAATGTGACATTAGCGATTCAGGGAAATGATTCCTGAGCCCTGGCAGGGAATCCTGAAGCCATTATGACTAAGAGCAGCGTCAGAGGCACAGCTTGCCCTTGATCTGAGCCGATGAGCAAGAAAACGGGAATTTCTAACGGATTCAACATCTCATTCCTCTATTATATCTGCAGTGACTCAGCTTGGAAATAAGAAGTTTATGGGTGCTGGAGAGCCAACTGGAAGCTACCTGTGTCTCATACACTTCCTTTTTTTTTTTTTTTTTCCAAATGCCTCCAGCAGTGAAATGTTCCTTTGAGGATTTCTAGGCAGAGCAGTAGACTGAGAAAAATGCTGCCCTGCAGGGACGAGCCCCGTGTCACCCTGAGCATCGTCATCACAGGATGTGCAACAAGTATCTACCTCCAGATCTCTGACTCATGTGCAGCAGAGGCAAAGATAATAACAGGGATGCTTCATCGTCCATTGTGCATTAATTTGGGGGTAATTAAGCGCTATGAGTCTTGACCCATCCCTGGAGGAGTTCAAGGCCAGGCTGGATGGGGCTTGGAGCTGCCTGGGCTAGTGGAATATTCCCTGCCCGTGGCAGGGGTTTGGAATGAGGTAGTCTTTGAGGTCACTTCCAACCCAAACCAGTCTGTGATTCTATAATTCTGCAGGGTGGGGATTCACCAAATCAGACACCAGCAAGGCTTTGGAAAACACTTCTTAAGGTCTATTTTATGCTTATTGGGACATAAGTAATAGAAATGGTTTATTTGCAGCAGCCTGATCTTATCCCTTCTATCCTCCTGAACCAGCACATAAATATTTCAATTGCTGGTGTCTCTGCAGAGAAGCTCCAAAAGAGGAAAAGAAGTTTTTTGCCCATTCCCTTCATTTACACCCTGTTCCCTGAAGTGAAGCCACCTAAGGGGAGATCCAGCCTGGAGCCACTCCTTAGAGTGGGTGACAGGTTTTGTGACACAGGACAGGCAGAGCTCACCTTTAGAAGGCTCACTTTGTAACTCCTGAGTGGTAAAACAAAATCAAAGCCTCTATTTCTAAGAATGTCACAATTTGTTTTGCAACTCAGATTTGTTGTACAGCGTTTGGCATCACGATGCTCTCACTTGTAGAACATGCCCCTGGGAATTCAGAGTCATCAAGAGTCATCTAAAATGTGAAAAAATACATGATCTTTAGGTGTCAGTGGCCATACCAGTAAAGACTTGCAGTGGGATGCAGCTCTTGCTGTGACAGATTGGCTGTTAGGAAGTGTCAAACGGGCACAGAAGAGAAAAGTTTATCCTTGTTAAGATAACAAACCGACAGTCTTTAAATAAAAGATAAAGAAATTGCCTCTGCCAAGATAAAAATCTCTTTAAATGCAGTGAAGGAAAAATAGTCACTTACAAAACTAGTGACAATCTCTGAAAATAAATGACTGAAAACAGCCTTAGAAGGAGCATGTGAATCTGGTTCTCCTGAAGTCAATGACCTCAATGGCAAAAAACTGGTAAAATTAAATGAGCTAAGAGCAAAAATCCTGGCTAGAAATAAGTTATCTGAGCATGCCACAAGTTGTATATCATCCCTGTATTATCATCTATAATATAATCCTAAAATTAATGATTGACATGTGATGATTGCTTTGGAACTTTCCATACTGCCTCGAGGCTGGATATGTATTTTATAGGACTCCAGGGTTTCATATATCCTAATTCACAGGCACAAAGGAGAGACTAAAGATCTCAGGCACTAACTGACAGGAAAACTACTGCAGGATAAATGAGATAAATCCATCTCATTGATATAAAGTTGGATGCCTCCATCCTACCCAACTACCAGCTGGCACGAGGGATTGCTGCTCCCTACAATTCCTGTCCAAAAACAGGAGGACAACTCATTCCCTAGTTTCTGTTAAACAGTGAGTCCAAAGATCTTTAATGAGGCTGGTGCATGGCCTGTCCCTCTCCCCCCTACACCCTTCCCAAAGGGATTTATATTTGGGAATAGCTGGGTTGATGTATTTGGCCCTGAGGTTTCCAACACAAAATGACCGGGAACGGAATAACTGGAATTTCAGACCTCATGAAACTACCAGAATCAAA